CTTTATTTTGAAGTTTGTGAAATTGGCCAAATTATCAATTTCTGATTACTTTATTTTTGGCCCAGGCCCATTCCTTAGGCCTCCGAAGCAATCTACCATCCTTCCTTAAGAACTTTTTAACTGACAGACATTTCCGTGTTCGAGTCAATAATGTTCTTTCCCCGGACTTCGTCCAAGCTGAAGGTGTCCCTCAGGGATGTGTTCTAAGCACAAACAGTTTTCTCCTTGCTTAAATTGATTTGGCCTTGTTGTCCACCCATATTTGGTCATCACTCTATGTTGATGACTTCGCTATTGCTTGTGCAGGCACTGACTGTCATCTTATTGCAGTTTCTCTCCAGCATGCGGTCGACCGTGTTTCCACTTCGGGCATCCACGCATGGTTTAATTTTCAAGTACTCCAAATTACTTTCACTCTAGCGCCGTGTAATCTCCGATCATCCTTTGTATCTCTATGGCTCCGTATCCCCGACGTGATAGTCAGAGATCTAGGCCTTCTCTTTTGACTGTTGGTTATCCTGGAAAACCTCACATACCTCTCTGAAGGCGCAACTTGTCACTGCCGGCTGAACCTTCTTAATAACCTTGACTCATTTTCTGGGGAGCTGATCGTCGAGAACTCTGCTTCGCCTACATTCAGCACTCGTTTTTCGGCAACCATTATGGTGACCTGATTTATTCCGCGGCCTCTCCTGCTACTCTCTCTAGCCTTAACTCTATCCATCACAATGGTATTCGTTTGTGCCTAGGTGCTTTTCGCTATTCCCCTGTTGAGAGCCTCTATAAGAGCGAAAGTTCCATCCTTGTCTGATCGCCGCTGATGCCCATTGCCGTGCTGCTATGTAACGATCTGACGATATCTACCACAATCCCCAGCGATTTATAGAATGGTCACGATATTAGTAGACATTCTTTATTTTGTTGGCCCTGGTTTGCTCACCGTCCCTTTTCTCGTTCGCCTACCATTCACTCGTCTGCCCTTCAGTTAACACCTTATCTTGTTCATGTAGCATGCACTTTTCCCTACCCCCTGGGGAAGATTCCAGCTGTTAGGGTCTGTTCTTTTCACTCCCTTGCTCGAAAGCTCAATGACTACGGTGGCTTCCCGCTCTTTGTTCTTGATCACTTCCACTCCATTTCTCTTGCCACCGCTGTGTACACAGGATGGCAATAAGGTCTCAGACGGCGTCTGATTCGCAGCAGTGTTTACGGACAGAGTCGTGAAGGGGCATTTACTACCTTTCAGCTAGCATTTTTACTGCTGACTGTATGCCTTTCTGCAGCACTTATTCGATAGCGCATCTATGCCGTGTCTTCATTTGTGCGTAAGTCTCAGACTCCCTTAGTGCTCTAAGGTTATACGAAAATTTGATACATCTATACCTGTTTCTCCGTCGTATCCAACTTGGCTACGCGTATCTCTACCAAACATAAGAGATATTGTTTTTGTTGCGGATCCCTGGTCATGTCGAAACATTACAGGGCAATGAACAGGCGACACTTGACCTGCGCGGTCAGCAGTACATGACTACCAATTTCCTATCGAAGTGTTCCATTTCGGGACTATTTTGCTGCAATAGGATACCCACCTTCGCACCCGTTCGGCTAAAAGTTGGTCAAACTATTGCTCCGGTAACAACTTCATTCTATTAACCGAGCATAGGTTACTGGCCGTTTCTTGTCATCAGTGCCGAGGTTAGGGAGACCACTCTCTCCCGCCCTTCGCATTGGCCACCAATCGTATTACTCATGGGGATCTCATGAGAGGAACCCTGTTCCTTCTCTGTGAGTAGTGTCAAGTTCCAGTATCGATTTGCCACATTCTGTTAGGTTGCACCCTCTATCATGAGCATGCAGAATTTACCTCCGTCATCTTCGTTCTACTGCTCTCTCTTTAGCCTTTCCCTTCTTGCTGATTGGACCCTCATGTAATCCTGACTTCTCATTGGACTTCTTGACAACGGACTGATTTACTCCCACTTACTGTTACTTTTTGCTCTCCCCTCAGACCTTTCTAGTTCAGTCTCTTGCTGCTCTTTACCTTTCACCATCACTACCCGCTGGTTTCCGTAACCTATTACTCGTCTGGCCATTTTGCACATGATGCCTCGCTGCCGTTCCTGGCCCTGTCAGCGCTGTAGAGTCATTGTGGAGGTGCGCTTCTTTTTGATTTGATAAAATAATGAACTTATTGGTAGTTATAATGATTAGGCAGTTTCTTGTGCTCAATCGATTAAAAAAAGGGCATACTAGTGAATAAAAAGGATTTGGTTGCTGGGGCAACATAATGGCCCTAAAATATCAGTGGGCAAATTTGCCGTTGCATATATATCCCCGACACGGCAAAATTCACAAATAAAATGCACAGGAAAGCATACAAAGGGGAGGATGACATTTTACCCCGTGTATCAGAAACTTCCCTATGGGAAACTGGGGGACCCTGAATCTGCACTCTAGAAAGGCGTGAATTAGGATGATATATTGGGCAAAAATTGGGATGATATGATTGGGCTAGAATTGGGGATGATATTTTTGAGGTGTAAAAGGGGAAAAGGGAATTAAGGGAGTACGGGACCCCGCATAGCGAACGCCTTGCATAGGAACATTCCCATAGCGAACCTTTTGACGCTAAAATTTTGCCCCGCATAGTAGACAAAAACCCCCTCAGCGAATTCGTCCGAGCGCGTCCAATTTGGGGCCCTCAGCCAGCCTCCATGTGCCGCCTGCCCCATTTTTTACCAGCTACCCTCCGGGGGTAACTTTCAAGCATACACTGGGAATATTTCATTTTACGTGTTTTCGGTTCTGTTTTTGAAATAAGTGACCAGGGCCCCAAGAAAGTTTTTAGTCCCAAACCCCTGTGGAAAAAAGGGTGGAATTATAGGAAAAAATTAAAGAAAGATTTTAAAGGGTTGGGGCTAACCCTGAGAAGCTATGCCAGTTGTGGAATCCTTGTGCTACTTTCAAAATTAAGGAAATGTTGACAGTGGTTGAACTGCAAACCTTTATGGATGAAAATCACCTGACCACAGCTGTTGCAAGGCTGCTGTGACTATTTCAATGATCCAATGTTATGGCCCATTTAGCCCAATCGTAAAGGACGGGAGGTACAGTGCTCGTAGGACAGAAGAAGTCAGTAGATATGAAGTGTCCTAGTGGCATTAAAAAGAAGGGAAGTAACCCCGAAAGGACTTGCCTCCTCAAGTGTAATGAAGGGGATTCCTCTAAACACTAAACCCTCTCTCTCCCATCCATCAATCATCACCGATCTTCAATAAAGTAAGTGTCATGTATGTGCATGCCTTTTTCATTTGTGTGTACAAATTAACGATTTTTTGTAATAAAAAATTTTTTTTCTACTTTGGGGTGTCTTGCATGGATAACTGTATTTCATTATTCTTATGGGGAAATTAATTCGCATAGCGAACATTCGATAGACGGACCAGCCTCTGCAGTAGTTAAAGTTACGCTATGCGGGGGTCCACTGTAATAGCATGCCAAAAATATCTAGCATAAACAGGACTTGCAGCAATGGTTTTAAGTTGGAAAAATTCAGATTCAGGAAGGATATCAGAAAGCATTGGTTTGGTAATAGAGCTGTGGATGAGTGGAACAAACTCCTAAGTACCATCATAGAAGTTAAGATGTTATGCAAGTTTTAATAATAGATTGGATAAATACATGAGTGGGTGTGAGTTGGATCTGGCTAGCCTGTGCTACTAGGTCAGGTGCCATGCTCCTTAAGTGAATGTGACTGACATGACTAGGTTAAGGCATTGACTTAAGCTGGTGGGAGAATTTGACCTGCCTCGCATGGGCCAATAGGCCTGCTGCAATGTTCCTTCTTTTTATGTTCTTACGTACTCGAAATATTTATTTGAACGCTTTGTTAGGTAAAAAAAAATCACTCGGTAGTTGACCGTCTGCTTGGCACTCGACCAAACAAACACAACTTGCCAGAACTTCGCTGTGAACTATTTAGTGTTTTTGCATTTTTTGGTGTTTTTTTATTTGTTTAAATAAGTCACCATGGAGCCTAAGAAGAATAGTGATAACAGCCAACAAAAAAAAAAAAATTTGGTTTGGAAATTGTTCAGTATTTGAACAGCCTTTTGAAACAAATTAGAGTACCGAGGTTCCACTGTATATATCTTTGTAAGGGGCATGCATACATTCACAGATATTACACAAGCCCAGTAATTGGTGATTTCCTGTGTGTGTACATGACTTGGGTACAGTGTGTGTGTGGGGGGGGGGATGCAAATGTACTCAGGTTTAAAGCAGACATGAGTAACAGTGAGTGGCAGGTGTTTTATACCAGTGACATCAATTTACCAGCATGAAATGAAAGACACAGGAAAGGTCAGTAGAGACTAACGAATCCAATTTGAGACCTGCTGCTGTCATGAATTACACAATTAGTATGCATTTAGTGGACAAATGTGATGTGCTGATTGAGTTTGCCAATTGTCTGCAAGAGTCAAAGTGGTACATGAAACTTATGTCGAGTGGACATTCCAATGCTCAATGCATACAATACAAGAGGTCAGGACAAGCAAGAGATCACCATATGTCAATTTTGTCTGTCATCAGACAAATAATACACTTCCTACCATAGACAAGAAATGGGCTCAGAAGATATGTTAATTCTGAGCATGCACAAGGCACCTAGTTAAGCTCAGAGATGCTCTTTATGAAGAGAACATGACCAGTGACTGTATATATGGATAATGTGGGAACAGTAGTAACATGAAACATATGAACTTATATATTTTTGTATGTTTTGTATATGTACTGATAATGCTGTTAGTGTGATATTGTATAGTATGCAATGGGTGGCCATATCTTTACTATGTATTATATGGGTCTCTTGGGTTACAAGAATTACTGGAAATTGAGAAAATCCCAGAAAATTGCAAAAAAATCAATATTTTAAATATTACATAGGAGTAAATTAAGCCAATTATGTTGTAAATGATAATTTTTATTTCCTAAAACAGGATCACCAGAAAAAAAGGTTGCCATCGCACTTAACTGCTTTTCAAGAAGGTTACAGACACTGTAAGGTGATCCAGTATAAGGACTGAACACAGCCAGGATTTGACAAGTTATATTGGTACATAAGGCAAGTGCAGATAATTGAGTTTCCATTAATCACCTCCCAAATTATTAGGGAAAATAAAAGCTATGATGACAGAAACTATTGCTAAGGTTAGCCTAGTTTATGGTGATCTTTGGTGATGATGCAGCACAAGCTTGCTCTAGGGGACAACAGACATTGCTGTCACCCCTGGGAAGGTCTGAGAGAAGGGACAGATATGCTCTAGACGGGCAACCTTCGAGAGGAGGAGCAAAACACCAGAAATCTGATACCTGGCTAGGAGTAAGTCAAGGAAAGCTGTTAAAATTTTAACAGGTTGAGATGATTCCCAGTCTTGGTTGGAAGGATCTTGTGTCCAGCTTAGTTAAGTGTGATGAGCAAGGTGACCTTTTTTGTCATAACTCAATTCAGACTATTCTGTGCTGCTGAGTCCCTTGATCAATCTAAAACTGGGATGGGATACCAAATGTGCATTGATTATGAGAGCTGAGCGGTTAGATTTTTATCTAGTAAAAGTTGGCACATTGAGGACAGCATTTAATACCTTTATTTTCTTCCATTACAGTTAGTGTAGCTGATCAACGTTTTGCGGGCAGGGCATGCTTCAAAAAGACTTTTCTAATAGTTCTACTTAATTGTAGTAAGTATTTGGGTGCAATATTTTCATATAGATTTGCATTGGGATTTTGGGAAATAGTCTCTTGAGATAAGATGTTAAGATACCAGAGCTGCATGGATACAACAGTTTACATGCCCCTCTAAACAGCAAATATCTTAAACAGCACCTCCAGGATTCAAGTCCAGGTAACTGGTTTGCCAGAATTCCCTCGCAAAATATTGCCTTGCTCACTCCAGCAGCTCGTAAAGTCCCATTATTATTATAATCAAAAAGAAGCGCTAAGCCACAAGGACTATACAGCGCTGCAGGGCAGGAAGGAAGCGAGGGCATCAGGTGGCAAAAGGGAGATGGATGAGTAATAGGTTATGGATAACAGCGGGGTAGTGGATGGTGAAAGGGTAAAGGGCAGCAAGAGACTGAACTAGAAAGGGCTGAGGGGAGTGCGAAAAGTATCATCAGAGTTTGTGGAGTAAATCAGTCGTCAAGAAGTCAATGAGAGAGTCAGGATTAAAGAAGGGTCCATCAGCAAGAAGGGAAGGTAAAGAGAGAGTAGTAGCATGCCGATGATCGGCAAGCTGAGAGCGTTGCCTCCAGTTCTTGAAGTGTAAAAGGCACATTATACTGTTCTTCTCTGAGAGAAGAAAAGTCCAAGGGTACTAACTCTCTGGCAGACTTTGAGGAAAGAAATGAGGGGCATAGATGGAGCCCTCGGGAAATACGGACCAGATGTGTGCCAAGTTCAATGGCAACGTCGAGAGGATTTGCTACATCAACACCAGCGACCCGTAGAACAGGAGCCGGGTCAGGAGAGTATTTACCACTCAATTTCCTCACTTTTTTCCAGACTGCCCTCATAGAAGCAGCAGAGGTGATGATGGAAACATAGTCTCGCCAACAAGTGCGTTTAGCTTCACGGATGACACGGCGAGCGATCACACGCTTCTGCTTAAAATCAAGAAGTCTCTCAGCGGTTCTATTGTACCGGTACCTGCCCCATGCAGCACGTTTCAAACGTACTGCACGAGCACAAGCAGGAGACCACAAGGCATGCATTTTTGAGAATGCCTGCCTGAGGTTTGGGGTATAGAATGAGAAGCTGCGGTATAAACTGACGTCGAGAAGATGTGTAGGAGCTCATCAATGGAGGATGAAGAAGGAACCTCACTAAAACAGTGAGGTGTGAGTAAAGATCCCAATTTGCCCGATCAAATTGCCAGCGAGGGCTACGGAAAGGTGGTGAATAGGAAGGAGAAGTAAGAATGATCGGAAAATGATCGCTGTCATGTAAGTCTGGTAGAACAGACCAGGTTAAGTCTAGTGCAGTGGAGGAAGAGCAGACTGATAGATCGATGCAAGAGAGAGTATGAGTATGAGGATCAAAATGGGTGGGAGTACCCGTATTTAAAACATGGAGGGGGTAAGAAGCGAGAAAAGCCTCCAACTGGATGCCACGTGAGTCACAATGAGACCCCCCCAGAGGAAATGGTGGGCATTAAAATCACCAAGTAACAGAAGTGGTGGCGGTAAGGATGAAACAAGAAAGGCAAAGTCTGGGATAGAAAATGCCCGAGGAGAGAGATATAAAGAACATATTGTAAACCATTTATTCAAGTGGATACGGGCTGCAGTGTAATGCAGCGAGGTATGGACAAATAGTTGACAGTACGGAATATCATTGCGTAGAAGGGCACTTTCATTAAAGGTCCCATCTGAGAAAGGATCCGAAGAATACAATAAATTATAGCCTGAGATAGGTTGGAAAACAGCCGAGTGTAATTTTGGTTCTTGTAAGCAAGCACCAACAGGGGGAAACCTGGAAAGCAACATCTGAAGCTCACCCGATTACCCCTGAGGCCGCGGATATTCCACTGTAAATATGCCATGATTCCGATGAGAAAATACCGGAATCTGTAGGTAAGGCACCTACGGACTAGAGGGTTAGAAAAGTCAACATGTGGTTGGCATTGGAAGACGTTCAAGTAGCGAAGGAACGGAGCGTTGCGAAGAATGGGGTTGTGAAGATGAGGAGAGGGAAGAGAAGGAACAGAAAGTGAATCAGTGTCCATTGAAGGTTTAGTCTCTGCAATATATTCTGAAATGGCTTCAAGTGTTTCTGAATTCAAAGATGTATGGGAGACCATATTGGAGATAGAAGGAGGAGGGTGAGTCAAGATTGGGACAGTAATGGACTGTACCAAAGTAGAGGGGGAGGGAAGAGTGTAAGGGACTGGAGATGAAGTGTGGGGGGGGGGACAGAAGAGGCAGAAACCTGGGAGGTGGCAGAAGAGGGAGAAACTTGGGGGGGACGGGGTGGAAGGCATAGTACGGGAGGAGGGTGAATCTCCGCACTTGTAATAGAGCCAGAGAGAGGGGAAGAACTAGGTACAGAGACTGGAAAGGTAAAGTGTGGAGGTGGAAGAAGGGAAGGAAGGGGCAAAGAAGATTTGAGCAATGTGGATTTTTTGGACTTCTGAGTAGAGGGGCGATTGGTAGTAGGTGTCGTACAAGGTCTTGTCGATACTGAGGCTTGTGAGGAAGGACGCGAAGATGTGAGAACAGACTGAGTTGTAGTCGGGACGTCAGAGCCAAGGACAGCAAAAGGATTAGATGCCGTAGTGGCTATGGGAGGGGTAACAACAGAGGAGGCTGCAGAAGATGGGACCCCAGAAGTGGGGGGATGTTTGGAAACACGAGAATAAGAAACACGGGGTAGTCTCCCTTGGAGGCGGAGATGAGCAACTGCCATAGCATAATGGAGACCTTCTGCCTCTTTGAGGCAACGGATTTCACGTTCATTTAAGTAGACCTGGCAACGGCGGGAGTACGAAGGGTGAGCTTCATTACAATTAAGGCAAGATGGAGGTTGACAGCAAGATGTATTAAAATGGTCGTCGGCACCACAGACTGGGCATTCGGCCATAGATCTGCAATATTTTGCTGGGTGACCAAAACGCCAGCAATTTCTACATTGTTGCGGTGTAGGTATCGCCTTTCGAACTTGTAACCGATGTCCCGCAACATATACAGAGGACGGGAGTTCTCGGCTGTCAAAAGTTAAACGAGCCACATGGCAAGGGTAACGTCTCCGCCCCCGGGCAGGAAGGACATAAGTGTCTACTTTGAGGATTGGGAGATCCTGGAGTTCCAGCTGTTCAAAAATGTCATTGCCACATGACTGGAAATTCTGTTGGACTATGGTATGGGGCAGAATGACAGTACCACTACAAGAATTGAGAGAAAGATGTGTTTCAATAGTGATAGGAGTAGTATCGATATTCGAAAGGAGAGAGATCATGAGCTTGGGTAGCATTCTGGACTGACGATGCGCATACCGCTCTTGAGAGCATGAAATATCTCTACCAACTTGACGCAGGAGCGCTTTGCCAATACTATGGTCATAAAGGTAGGCAGAAGAAGAAGTCGGTCTTAAAGTAAAGAATTTAGTCCATTGTGTGGTCCGAAACTGAGCGTGGAGAGGGAGTGCTTGACGTGTCGGTCTTTTCCGAGTAGAATGGGAAGGTAACGAAGGAGCATCATCAGGAGATTGACGTTGGCGTTTAGGAGTAGGACTGGAGTTGGTCCGGCGTGAAATGGGCGGGCAATTCGAAAATTGCCGTACCGTAGAGGGAGAAGCCGGAAGCATAGTCAAAGGAGAGCGGAGTTCAGACAAATCGAAGGAGTCAGTCGAAGCCCCGGTACCTGAAGCGGGTGAGGAAACAGCACCAGAAAGAGGTACAGGGGCATCAGGAGTGTCCGAAGAGTGGTCTAAACACAAGGCAGGGTCAGAATGGGGTGCGGTATCAAGAAGGGGCCAGGGGTAGTGGGTTCATGGACTAGGGCTGCCATGATTAGGTTACTCCTTTGCTTTTTGTTTTTAAGAAAAAAGAAGAAAGAAGAAAAGAAAATAAAAATAAAAAAAAGAATGAAAAAAGGGGGGAGAGGGGAGGAATGAAAGGGCCGGAAATCTCCCTCTGCGCCCAAGAGGACTTCAGCACCGCTAGTAGTGCAGATGCAGCATGGAACCCGTGCCATACCCTACCCTTCATGCCAGTAAACCAGGAATCCGGGATAGCAACCTCACATCTGCCGAGCTACCTCGGTGGACAAGAGAGGGCGGCCGGATATCCACCACAAAGCATACCTCCTTCGGCCACCACCCCCGGAATCCGAAAGGTGGCTTCCAGAGATACACCCGTCGCCCGAAAGACACCCAAAGCTACTCCGGGATACCGGAGAGGGATCGGGACATCCCCAGGCAATCCAGATTCCACGGCAAAGTACGCCACCGCCAAGAACCTCAATGGAATGGGATGGACCCCGGTGTCCTTTCCCCTACCTAGGAACTAGCGCACCTGTGGGAGAAATCCCAAAGGCCAAAAAGAGGAAGGGCAAAAGGGAGGGGTGA